TTTCACACCAACCTGAGCCATAGAATAGCCAAGGATCAACTAACACAAAAGCCTTTTCCTTTCTCTTTTCAGCTTCAGAAGATTTCATGCAAGGGGTTAACAATAAAACATAGAACTATCCCTGAGTTTTGTGAAATCACGCATTTGGAATACTTTATTAACTCCTCCTGTAGATGAGCTCCATTTATTTTCCACCTCTGAAATGGGTAAATAAAATATACACTGCATAACAAAGGGCATAATTATTTACCCCTTCGTGTTGTTTATATCAGTGGTGTACTATGCTCCTTCTTTTTCATTTAAGCTTTACCTAGACCTCTCTCTCTTCAATGAAGGAGAACACTGTAATAAACATATCTTTCCACTGACACTTTAGAAGGAAATGTTAGAGGTACTAGTTAGATCAACCTTCTAATAGGTAAATACAATCACAGTATAACTTCAGTCACCAGCAGATCTGCTCACTTTTCCAGCCAATACCTTCCCACCAGTGTATGTCATAGGCAGTGAGGAAAGTGACATTAAAGACTTAAACATATTCCAGCAGTCTTTAGTCAGTGAAATGTCCAACTCAGATCTACTTCTGATGGGCTAAGCCTGTAGTAAAAGAAAGAAGTGCTCTGACAGGTAACTATTAAGGGAAATGATTATACAGTGCAGTTGACTGTATTGTCAGGGTACTCTAACAACCTTCAAACTCATTTCAAAACTTCAACCTTTCATCCAAACCCAGCCCATTTCACCTAGGAAGAATAGCCATGTCATTACTCTTCACTCAGATTGGGCATTTAAACTAAGGAAATATGTTTTGAAACATAAAACTCTCCAGTTCTTTCTTTACTTTTGCATAAATGCATTTAGATAGCCAAGAATTGATTTCTTACAAAAACAAACAAACAAACAAAACAAAACAAATATTTGAATCTAGTTTTACTGATGTCCTAGGAATGATTGTCACTTTTGCTTCTCTAAAGAGCTTGATTTGCATCCAAAGGTCAGTCTTGCTACTCTTGGGTCTTCTAACTGGAAATCCAGGCATGCAAGGGAAGTTCTTCCTTATCTCTCTTTTCCAGTTTGGACAGTGTGAGGAAAGAGGAAAAGAAAAAGCAACAACTAAAGCACTTCCCCAAGGTAAAGCACTTATCTCTGAGCTTTGCAACCCAAAATGACAAAGAAGAAATGTTTGGGCTACAGAACGGTAGTGAGCCCTGGGCCCATGGATCACCCAGCTACATGGGCAGGCTGAGAGCACACAGTCACACAGAAGCCCAACTCCCAGCCTCTCCATGCTGGCTTTCATCCTGACAAAGGCAAAACTTTCCACAGCTGTACTCAGTCCCAGTGCAAACTGACTGGTGTCCCAGGAACTGAGGGAGATTTTTCAAGCCTTGCTGGAACCTTATGTGTGCTTTGGTTTTGCTTTCGAGCATCGCAAAACACTAGAGGACATTCTCCTGCCTCACTATACCCTTTCCTCTAAAAGATCTGTGCAAAACCATTTTTAAAAAACACCTTCAACTGTATTATTCCTCACGTTAATCTCATGCTAAGGGAGGCTAATTGATTCTGTAGGTATAAAATAAACTCTTTGGGAAAGGGCTGCATTAACATCAGAGGAACTGACCATGCTCCGAGTAATCATGGGAATGTTGCTCATGGTGATGACTTTGGTAAAACAGGATATTTTTTGTCCTATGGTCTCTTTAAACAGAATAATACTGTTCTAACGACTTACGGGTAAGGAGGAGGTATGCAAGAGAATTTTTTATGCATATCTGTTCATCTGCAGAGTCCCATGGCTTGTGAGCTGGATTTAGAAAATGATTTTACAAAACCACCTTTGTTCAGTGTGACTTACACAAAAGCCAAAGTGAATGATCATGGCTTTCAGGAGAGTAAAATACCAGTATCAAAGAGGCACAGGATTAGTGAAAAATGGTTCACTAATTTCTTCCTTGTAAGAAAGATGTGGAGGGATGGGTGGATGTTAATGGGCTAAAAAAAAAAAAGGTGGAGGGGGCTGCTTAGATCCAGACTCTGGGGCCTGGAACACTAGTCAATGTTGTATGTGCAGCCACAGATTTCTTCTTCTTTCCCTTTTGCACCAGATCACAACTACTCACTGGCTGTCCAGCTGGGAGAGATCAAGTGTTGTGTGGTAGGTCTTTTAAAAAGTGATTGATGTCCAGCCATGATGCTAGCAGCCCACAAAAGGTATTGTAATCTTACAGCATAAGGCCTCTTTCTAAGTGCAGGCTAGCTTCTCTTTGCCTTTGGGGGATTTCCCACTGGAGACGTCCTGTGTGCTGAATAGATCTGTGAAGACCAGGAAGTTAAAGGGAGTCCCCAGAAATGAAACCTGGGGGCCCAGGCCACCTCCAGGCCTTCTACTGCCCATACTAGCTTAACCAGGAGAGAAACTTTGGAGGGGGCAAGGCGCCAGGGGGCCCCAGCGGCATGGCTGGATGCCTAGGATATGGTGCTGAAGCAAGGGTCGCTCTGGTTCTGAGCCTAAGAATCATGTCCAGTTTCAATTTGTTTCCGGACTGGGGGTTGGGGTGAGGGCGGAGGAAGAGAGGATGAGTGAAAGAAGGATAGAAATTGCAACTCTTTTTTCTGCTCCTGCCGCTGAGCGTGCCTGAAAATGTGTGTGGAATTTTACAGTTTGGGGACTCAGGAGCCCTTGAAAAATATGATCATTTTTCTATTAGGTGCCCTGCCCAAGAACAGATACCGTTATCTACTAAGTGGGTGTGAGATGAATTGAGCCCAAGACAACTGTGCCAAGTTGGACCAGGATCAAACCACAGGCTTGAAGAGAGAAAGCTAGAACACTCGAGGACCTGAGCTGACCCCTCAATCCCTTTCCTGGAGCCATTTTGCTGGAGGCGGAGCTGAGAGTCTAAGTGGGGTGCTCTGGGAGTGTGCCGCTGTGGTTGGGACGCACAAGGACCGGAAGAGGAATCGAGCCCCAAGTGCTCCTGGAACAGAATGAGTACCGGAAGGGGACAGCTCCCTCCTCTCGATGCCTAGTTTTCTTCCTGGCCTCTCTCAGGCAAGAAAGTGGGCACATTCGCCCGAAGGAACAGAACAGCTTCGGTCCGAAACCTCGAGGGCTTGGCTGCTCAGAGCGCCGCCACTGTTAGCTGCCCATCCCCACTCCTGGGGCTGGCGTTGAGGACTGCACTGTCGCCCTGCCTTCCAGAGGAGCGGGCGGTCTCTGCACAGGCCTTGAGGGCCCCTCTTCCCCAACCCCAGGGTCACGCCGGGTCCTAGGGGCCTTTTGCAAATGTGGAAGCCGAGAGGGGCCAGAGCGGAAAAGGTGGGCACCACTGCACCAGCAGAGGTTCAGCTGGTCCTCCCGCCCTGCCCTGCCCCTCTCCCGCAAGGCCTTAGCCCGCACCAGCCCTAATAGGCCAGACTGCCTCCTGCGGGAGCCACTCAGCCCCCGGGCGCGGTCCCCCGAGTCTGCCCCCGCCCCCGCCCCCCCGCGCCCGCCCTGCGCGCCCTCTGACGCAAACGCCCGCCCCTGCCCAGCACCGAGGAAAATGCTCTTGTTGGTTTTAATTGAGGCTCTTCGTTTCACACACACACACACACACACACCCTCGGTCGCCACCCCACCCCTGGGAGGCGACCCCCCTCCCCGCCCCCAGCCCGCTTGCCGCGGCGCGAGGAGTCTGGCTCGGCTGCAGGGCTCCAGATCCTGGCGCAGATCTCGCCGCCGCCGCCGCAGGTTCTCCGCTTGGGAAAACGGCTTGAAGTCCCTTTTAATCCGCTGACACTATCGCCCACATCAAACAGTCGGCCATCGATTGCGTTCCTTCAGGGAATCGCGTTACAAACTGCGCCCGCAGGTGGGCGGCTGAGCCGAGCTCGCCAGGTCCGGGGCGCAGCGGGCGAGACGCGAGCACAGAGGGCGGCCAGCCCGCGGCGCCGGCGGGGACCTCCAGGCGATGCCCAAGCTGCGGGTCCCACCCGAGGCCGCTGCCCGCCGCGGTGGAGGGGGAGCTGGGGAACAGCGCACGGGGGCGGGGTGGGGAGAAACCTGTTTTGAATTTGGGGTGTTGCTGGGCCGGCAGGATCCTCCCCTCCAGGCAGGCGCCGCGGCTGGACAGGGGCCGGGCCGAGGGCCGCGCTCCAGCAGGCCCAGGCGAAAGTTCCCGTCCCGCGCGGGCGGCCACACGCCAGCCCCAGCCTCGGGCGGCGGTGCGAACCGGGTCTGCCTCGCTGCCTGCTGGCGTTACCAACCCCAAGTTCAAAAGAAACGATCGTCATTGTGTTACTTGCCTGCTGGGGCCGGACTGTGGCGAGTGTCGCTTCTGGTGCCCACGACGCGCGGTCCGGGGTCGGAGGCGGCTGGGCCGGCGCACCCACCCGGCGTCCAGTCGAGGCCCCGGCGCCCCGCGCGCTCGCGCTTTCTCGCCCACCCTCTCCGCCTCTCCGCGCCTTTCCCTCTGCATCTCCAGCAATCTGCCTGCTGCCTGGGCTCTCCGCTCCCTGCCTCTGACTGCACGGGGAGGAAAACGTAGAATTTGTATACAAATTCATTCTTCTTTTCTTCCTTTCCTCCTTCCCTCCCACCCGCCCTCCTTCCCTCATGTATTTTAATCCGGTTCCTTCCACCTTTTCCCTGCCCAGGAGACGTGAGCGCGTGAATTTGGGCACAGGGGCTAGGGCCAGGAGCCCTGCCACCCCCGGTCGCCTCCTTGCCATCAGCTGCATACAATGGGCCGCTGCGCGCGGAGTGCGCGACAATCTCTCCATTATTCGAGCTGGAGGGGCTGCGGGGCCGACACCAGAAAGCCTTTAGTCTGCTCTTTAAAAAAAAAATCATCGCTCATCACTAAGCGGTCTCCGACACCCGACTGGCATGGTAGGAAAGACCAAGGAGCGCAAAACCTACCCCAGACGTGCGGTGCTTCCCAAACCCCTCCCTGGTGAGGTTTAAAGTGAGAACGAGGATTAAAAAAACAAAAACAAAAAAACACCAACCCTACCTCTGTCAACACAGCGTGACCGTGTACTTCCACCTTTACCTGAGGGCGTGTTGGAGCTCGGAACGCGCGAGCTGTGACAAACTTTTACGCTCTCCGGAGTCGAGGGGTGGGCGGGCGAGCGCGGCTCCCACCCGCAGCGGCGGCAGCGGCGACAGCGGAGGCTTTGTCACTCGGCGCGCCCGCCCGAGCCTGCCTAGGGGAGCGATCTCCAAACGAGGGGGGTGCGAGTGTGGGATTGGAGAATATGTAACTAATAGAAGTATCATTTTCCCCCAGTACGATCTTTCAAGGAAAAAAAAAAATCCATTGAAAGATTTTCAAAGTGCTGTCTTGGTTTGGAGAAAAGACACAGGCTGCCTGCGGGGAGGGGAGGAGGGACTGCGCCGGTGCCGCCGGGGAGCGGCTCCCGTCCGCTAGGTGGCAGCCGGAGCCAGCGATTCCTGCACGCCGGGCGGCGGGACCCGCTCCTCTGCCCGCCCCTCCTCCCGCGACCAATCACCTTCGGGAATCGGGGTCTCAGTCTCCATCGCCCTCCCCGCCGCCAGCCCCTCTCCCTCTCCTTCGCTCTCTCTTTCTCCACCCCCTCTCCTCCTTCCTTTGCTCTTTTTCTGGGACTCCGACTTGGCCTCCCTAACCACCCCCCCAAAGATATGAAGACTTACTACTGTTTTATTAATAATTATGGAAGCATTGTTTGGAGTTTGGAAGAGCCTGGATTAAAAAAAAAAAAGAAAGAAAGAAAGAAAGAAAGAAAGAAAAGGAAAAACCAGATTGATTGGAAAGTTTATTTTAAAATCATCTTTGGGATGAAAAGGAACCGCTGATTCAGATCGAAATCTTGGCAATAGTTGCAAATTTACTCTTGTGCATTGTCGTAATTAAGCCTTCAAAACCAAGATACACTCTGGATCAAAAATAGGGAGATGCTACCTTTATTCTAAACACACACACACACACACACACACACACACACAAAATGAGCAGAATCCAGACTAGGATTATGACCTGTGAAAGAAGAAAACAATCCAAACCCAGTACATTGCGCAAATCACTAAAATGGAGAGGATTGCTTTCCCACTGAAATGTTCCCCCCATTTTTAATGATTCTCTTCACGCTCATAAAATCTAATTTTGAAAACTTTTCAGAATGGAAATAATTTCATTCTCTCTTTTTCTCCTTCTTTTTTCCATCGCAAGGCATTCTCCCCCTCGTCATCCCTTCCCCCTCTGGGGCGTGCGTGCGTGTGTGTGTGTGTGTGTGTGTGAGAGAGAGAGAGAGAGAGAGAGAGAGAGAGAGAGAGAGAGAGAGAGAGAGAGACCATAGACGACCCATACTAATCAGGTCTCAGAGTAAATAGCAGCGCAGGGCGATCTCCATGTAAATTGCGCTTGTCAGAAGCACACACCCCCCCTCCTCACTTTCCTCCTCCTCCCCTCGCTATCCCAGACTGTAGGTAGCTAAGAGGGAGGGGAAAAGAAAAAAGAAAAAAAAGAAAGAAAGAAAAAGAGGAGGGGGAGGGGCTCACCAGCCAATGGCGTGCAGGAGGCTTGGCTAACCTTAGCCTCCCGTTCTCTCTCCCCCCGATTCAGGGCTCTGACCAGTCAGTCGCCTTTGATTATCAGTTGCCAGCAGCCCTTCTCTTGGCTCCTTGACACGAGCTCCATATAAGGCAGCGATCTCCATAGAAACGTGTCAGTTTCAATAGTAGTGTCAAAGTTCACTATATACAGACATTCGCGCAGATTCCCCTTTCGGAAACACTGCTCTGCGAGTCCTCCCGTTTAAACGCATTCAATTTTTGGGTCTCTCTCTCCCTCTCTCTCTCTCTCTCTCTCTCTCTCTCTCTCTCTCTCTCTCTCTTTTCCTCTCTTCCTCTCCTCTGTCTCTCCCCCCTCTCCCTCCTCTCTTCTCTCTTCTCTTTTCCTCTCACCCTCTCTCCTCGCGCCCTCTCTTCTCTCTCCCCTTTCTCTTTTCTTACATATTTTACTAGTAGTTTCCCCCTTCTCCTTCTCCTTCCTCTCCTTTCTCTCCCTCCTCCTTGTCTCTTTTACTCCATTCCTGCAGAGGAGAGAAGGCTAAACTTAAAAAAAAAAAAAAAAAAGGAGGAGGAGCACCCCCTTCGTATTCTTCTTATCGTTATTTTATACATATATGATTTTTTTGGAGGGAGGGTGTTGGTTCCCGGCTGAAGAGCACTTATTTAAAATACTAAAAAAAGAACATTTTTGGGCGATCTCCAGGGTTTTTTAACTAGCTCTGTGTGTTATAGCAGAAGAAGCAGAAGAAGAAGCAAGAAAGGAAAAGAAGAGGATTATTTATTCGACC